CGTAGGGGGGGGGGGGGGGCGAAACGGCCCCCCTGTCCTTTTCGGTCAAAATCTCCTAACCTTCGCCCTGGTGGGGGGGGGCCATTTTGGCCCCCCCCTGTGGTTTTTCAGCGATAACTCAGAAACCACTTGAGTTAGCGCCCTGAAACTTTGTATAGCTGTTTATTCAACATTTTTACATCATGTCCTTTTTTGGGGGGTTCGGGTCAGGTCAGGTCAGGTCACAAGGTCACCAAAACTGACACCACCTCTAAAAAAGTTCAAAGCTCTCTCAAAGGCACAGCTTTTATCCGATCGATGTAAAATTTACAGTACTTGAAGATGTCACCCAGCTCTACAAAATGGCTATCTCGGATTTTTTATAAATGTGACCTAAGGTCAGGTCAGGTCATCGCTGCTCCCCATTATAAGTCAATGGGAGAATCGAAAAGTAGTTGTTTTTCAGCTAAATCGGGCGTGATTGTTCCTATATTTCGTTATTGAAGTGTCTTGGGTCAGCAAATCACAGCCCATGTGAAACCATTTGCTTGTGACCTCGCTGAGGTCACGCTAGGTCATCTCCCTGGTCACCAGAGGTCACCAGCGGTTTTTCTGCACTTACTTGTTATTGAATAGAGATAGAGACTCCATTCGACGTTTATCGTGTTTGTCTCGTCAATGCGGATCGAATGATATGCAGCATGACCTATTTCGGTAAGGTCATGACCTTGACCTGAGGTCAAATTTTCAAAATGACCTTTCGAGGTCAAACTATATATCATTCGACGCGTCTCGACGAGCCAAGCACGATGGTGCATGAATCGTTTCTCTATTTTCTCGTGAATGCATGCTATAGTTAAAAACATTTTCAACGAAATTTGCCAAGTTGACCTTGCATGACCTCTGTAGGCCAAACCGTTGAGCTGAGGTCAAATCTGACGAACCTTGGCGAAAGAGCTTGAAAAGAGCTATCGATTGCTTTTTTCCGCGGCTCTCTAGCTCTTCTAGTTTCCGAGCTACAGCGGAATATGTCCGGCAACACCGAAAACACTGAAATTTGGCCTATGATGACCTCTAGCGACCTCAATATTGACCTTAGCGAAAAAATGACCGAAATACTTTCGAACGTACTTGTTATGGGCTTTCGTTTGCTTTTTTCCGCGTCTTCCTAGCCCTCTTCGTTTTCGAGTTAGACGGGGGGGGTCATTTTGGCCCCCCCCCCACCAGGGCGAAGGTGGCTCAGACCCACACCAGGGCGCGGGCTAAACGGCTGAGATATCGCCACCAAACTTTCAGGACCCCTCCGGGCATCAATTTATACATTGTGACCAAAAATTGTTCCAGAGGCTATGATAGGTTGGCCACAAATGACGTCAGAATGACGTCATGTTCTGCCACTTTCGACCGAAAAAAAGACCTTCGCGAGAAGACCTGTCAGGCCTACAGCTTTGAAGATACAGAAAAATGATCAAGACATAAAAGGTGTATAATTGACAGGGCTAGAAAACTGCTATCTCGGATTTTTGAAATTTTCGAGTTTTGACCCCCAAAAATCAAAAAAGCATTTTTTGGATATATTAGCCAAAAAATCCAAAAAGTTTTTTGAGTTTCGAAAAAAACGGAATATATGTGATAGTACCTACCGTCTTCTATCCACATACTAAGTTTCAGATCTATACCTTGTTTTTTGGCCAAGTTATAGCGAAAAAAAAAACTGTTCAAAAATGATGACGTCAAATTTTCAAACTCATTTTTTGGCAATTCTAGACCTTGTAGAGCAAAACAAAGGTCACCATTAGACTCTACGTGATGAGCTGCATCGCATCGCTACCCATTTTATGCAAAAATATCAACTTTGAAATTTCACCTATTTTGACCTGACCTTGACCTGACCTTCACCAAAACGTGACCTAGGCTGGCCCCAAAGGCTGCCTAACCCACATAATCGCATTTGTCATGTAAAATGGACCATAAAACATGTATCACACGACACTTTCATATTGTGACCCCCGGTGACCTGACTTCGCTAATCGCTGTGACCTGACCTGGTATCAGTGACCTCAGATAGCGAAGTATGTGTTTGACGAACAATGTACCATCGATGGTTTTCAAAAAAATACCAATTTACTCGATTTCACAACACATTTCTTGAAATGCCAGTGAACTGTGAAAATCTGACCTTTGACCTGACCTGTGACGTCATCGGTTTGACCTAGTTCAATGAAATTTGGTCACAAGGTATTTCCCGGGTGGGGCTATCGAACGCCGTTTGAATTTTGAAAATCAGCCGGTAACTTTCCGAGATCTGAGGGGGGGGGGGCGAAACGCCCCCCCCCCCTACGGGTGGTAGGGTCCGCCGGTAGCCCTACGGGGCGCGGGCTAGGGCGCTGAAAACGTCTTAGATGTGTTCAGCTCGACGTTTCGGATCGACTGATATGCAACATGACCTTTTCCGGCCAGGTCATGACCTTGACCTGAGGTCAAATTTTCAAGTTGACCTTTCAAGGTCAAATTATAGTTCATTCGACGCGTCTCGACGAGAAGAGCACGAAGTTGGCAAAGGTAATGTCATGGCTCTTTTGAGTCAAACGTTATTGCCGAAAAAAACGTTTTTCGTAAAAACGTTTTTTTGGAGTTTTTGCCCTCTGGAGGCTAAACTGTTGACCTGAGGTCAAATCTGAGGACATTATTCAGAAAGACCTATAAAAGGGCTATCGAATTAGCTTCTTCGCGGCGCTGTAGCTCTATCGGTTCCCGAGATAGCTGTCGGAAGTTTCCAAAATGTTGAAATAGTCAACATTTTACCTTTGGTGACCTCTGGTGACCTGACCTTTTTAATAATCTCGGAATTTCGATATCGATGACCTAAGGTCAGATCAATTTCTTGACATTCTCATTCAAGGGGGGAAATAGGCTGCCTGATTTTTTTCACTAAATCGCGTCGGAATGGCCTAATATACCTTGAATGACTTCATATACGATCAACCCTGACTGAGGCCCTTTTTGCCCTTGGGCAACTGTATAGGTCATGTGACGTTATCACAGGCCATCAAGGTTTTTTGCTTTTACCTCCTTACAGGAACAAGATACAGCCGCGCAGATGGTCTCAGTGTGTTCAGCTCGTCAACGCGCATCGAATGATATACATGATGACCATTAGGTCACGTGACCTAAGGTCAACTTTTGACCTTGAACTTTCGAGGTCAACATGAATGTTTCGATGCGGATCGACGAGATGATCACGATGGTGCTATTGGTTTGCCCCTAGCTTGGCTATTTCGAGTTATTCGAGAAAAAAAAATCATACCTATCTAACACCGCCATTTTGACTTTTTTGACCCCTGTGACGTCATCTTTGACCTGACCTGAAAATGACGTCTGTGAAAATTGTAGAACTTGTCCGTGTGTACCTCCTGCCGTTTACCGCTTGTCGCTATCCTGCTTCGTTCTTGAGATCTCGGGGGGGGGGGATATAATCAAGAATACCTAATTTCTCCAAATGGCCTCTCATCGGCCGCTTTGGCGTGCTCACAACGGCTGGCGTATAGAGACATTCGCTAGGATCTCCCCGCGGTTCGGTTTCTGGTTAAGCTATCTAGAGCTTCACGAAAAAGACGAACATATACTGTAGCATGAGGATAATGGCATAGTGTCGTGTAATCAAAAATACCCTCTTGCACACTCTTCTTGGTACTGTGCCTGCATGCAAAAAGTAAATTATTTTTACCGATGACAGTCGCGGGACCGAAGGCTGCTAACGCCTGCCATAAACGTACACTCGTTTGTTAACCCTCGCCCCGTTGGGGGGGGGGCAATTTGCCCCCCCCCTGTGGTTTTTCCTGAATAGAAAAAGGCGGCGCTGCGCCAAATTTTCAGTACCTTCCCGGGCATCCTTCACATCAAATTTTAAGTCTTAGGTCACCTTAGGTCAGGAGCTATTAAGGTCAAACTGAGGTCATGTTCGAACAAAAATGAGCAAAAAACATGCAATTTTGAAACGCTCACCAAATCTACAGTTACCCAATTTCAAAGTTCTTTATATGGTCTAGTAGACAAAAAGCGGTGCTACAAATCTGTTATCGCAGATTTTCAAAATTTTGGGTTTTTTGACTCCAAAAAATTCAAAAATTGAGTTTTTAGAAAAACTAAAAAGAATCCAAAACAAATCCGAATTTAGAAAAAAACGGAATGTATGTGATAGTCCCTGCGCTCTTCTATATACATACCTATTTTCAGATCGATATCTCGTTTTTTGGCCAAGTTATAGCGAAAAAAAACAGTTCAAAAATGATGACGTCAAATTTTTGAACTCAATTATTAGCGATTCTAGACCACGTAGGTCAAAGCAAAGACCACCATTGAACTCCCCGTGACGAGCTGCATCGAATCGATACCCATTTTTTATGCAAAAATATCAGCTTCGAAATTTGACCTAATTTGACCTGACCTTGACCTGACCTTGACCTGACCTTCATTAGAACATAATCTGAACTGACCCCAAAGGCTGCCTGACCCACATAATCGTATTTGACATATAAAATGGACCATAATACATGCATCACATGATATTTTCATATTGTGACCCTCATTGACCTGACCTCTGTGACCTGACCTGTTATCAGTATAATCAGTGACCTCAAATAGCAAAATATGTGTTTGAAGAACATTTCCCCATCGATGATTTTCAATGAAATGCATTTTACACGATTTTACAACGCGTTTCTTGAAATGCCTGTAAACGGTGAAAATTCGACTTTTGACCTGACCTGTTACGTCATCGGTTTGACCGAGGTCAATGAAATTGGGTCACAAGGTAGTTCCCCATTGGGGCTATCCAACACCGTTTACCGCTTGTCGCTATGTTGCGTGGTTCTCGAGATCTGAGGGGGGGGCAAAATGCCCCCCCCCCCCATCAGACCGCGTTGCTCGGCAGACCCCATCTGGGCGCGGGTTAACAGTAAATTATAATGAATAAATTGTGCACGGTGATGTCTGACTGTCTCCGACCTACGCAGATGCCTTTATTTACCGACATGGTACACCACCCCACGGATTGCCATAACCAGGCAGAGGAGCACAGTGACACCTCCGAGCCAGGTGGCCAGGGTCGGGTACCCCCAGAGGTCCGTCACCAGCCCGCCGCCCACCGGACCGAGCACGTTACCCAGGGAGTAGGCCGCTCCAAACACCGCCGAAACCAGCGCCTGGCCGCTTACATCGCTCTGCAGACCGCGGGCGGCCGAACGACGCACCATCAGCGGCAGCAACGGCAGGTAGGCACCGCTTTGAAACACCTCGCGCAGCGTCATCCCCACACCGAGTAGCACACGGGACGGCCGGAGACCGAGCAGGGGGGACGGAGGGATCAGCAGCACGCCGAGAGCGGTGGGCGCCAGGCTGCCGGCCACCAGCAGGAACGTGTTGTCGATGTAGTCCGAGAGTCGGCCCCACAGCGGACTGGAGAGAGCGTAGCCGGCGAACGAGCCCAGGAAGAAGAGGCTCAGCTCGGCCGGCTGGATGCCGAGGACGGCGTGCATGTAGGGCTCCATGCTGGGGTCCATGGCCGTCCAGTTCATTGCGGCTACCAGCAGCGCCGCGGATATCAGCCAGTTGTCGGCTGTGGAGAACACCAGAATCAGCATGTCGCGGTAGTTGCGATCTGCATCGCCCTTCTCCGTCCTCTCGGTCGAGTGGTCCGTCATTGTCGGCATCAGGAGCAGGCTGGTGGCGGCGGTGGCGAAGAACAATGTACCGAGTGTGTAGAACGGTGCTCCGTAGCCACCAAGGGCATACATTGGGCCACCGATGGCAGGGCCCAGGCACAGGCCAGCACCAATCATGCCCTCCACCAGGCTCATGGCCGAGTTCATCCGCCGTGGAAACTGGTTGATGATGATGGTTCGCGCCGCCGTCTGACCAGCAGCAGTGCCGACGGCCTCGGCAGACCGCACCGTCAGAGACCAGGCCAGAAACGCTGCCGGCGTCTCCACGTAGGTGAGTAGACCGAACGCGACCGTGGTGACTCCGGCCACCAGCAGGCCGAGAGTGTACAGCCGCGTCACGCCGAGCCGCGGCGCTAACCAGCCCATCGCCGGAAACGCCAGCGTTTGAACTAACGCGAAACAGCTGAAGACGGCGCCGGAGGAAGCTCTGTTCAGACCGCGAAGGTTTGCCTCGTGGGTGAAAAACGGCACTTGGATGACGACGCAGCAGCCAGCCAGAAGGCTGCTGGCGGAAAGACACACCAGCAGACTCACTTGGGACCGGCTCAGGGGAACCGGCGCGGAGTCTGAACGCTTCTCTTTTTCAGACTCATCAGAAGTTGGACATAGCTTGTCGGAGGCCTGGAAGGGCTCGCTGTAGGCTGATGGCTCGGGTGTGCTGTATCCTGATTGTGATCTTGATGGGAAAATATCATTGATCAACGGCGATGTCTCGAGTGCTTGGGGTGAAGAGCGATGTTCTGTTATCCTGCAACTCACCATGGTGTTTTGCAGTACTAGAAACTTTGAAATAGAGATAAACACCAGTTGCAGTTGCAAAACGGAATCAGAAGTCGTGGCGGCAGCCGAAGTATGTAGTAGATCAAGAATGGGATGGAAAAGGAATCAGAAGAGCCGTGAGGGAGAAACAGGAGTGGAAGAGTTTTCGCTGCGGCGGCACCAGCAGGTTCGACTCTGATGTGAAGTGTGGCGCAGTCGTACTACCTACCGGGACAGGCAGAGGTCGTCGACTGGGAGGCCGAGCCGACGGGCGTCGCCAGCCACTTCCATCTGAATAGAGCCAGCTTCATTGGTTACTCCCGGTGTACCACTTGTGGCGCCAGGGCAGACAATATATCTAGGCTGCTCGTCAATGAGCGGGCCGCCTATTCACGCCTATCAACCGCGCTGTCGCACACGTGTCGTGATCAATGTACCCCAGCGATGTTCTGCTCGACAAGGTCAGACGGGCTGCAATATTGGTAGCTGCCCGACTTTGCTAGCCACTGATGGTAACCCAGTTACCACAACGGCTTTTTAACCCGCGCCCAGATGGGGTCTGCCGAGCAACGCGGTCTGATGGGGGGGGGGCCATTTTGGCCCCCCCCTCAGATCTCGAGAACCACGCAACATAGCGACAAGCGGTAAACGGTGTTGGATAGCCCCAACAGGGAACTACCTTGTGACCCAATTTCATTGACCTCGGTCAAACCGATGACGTCACAGGTCAGGTCAAAGGTCGAATTTTCACCGTTTACAGGCATTTCAAGAAATGCGTTGTAAAATCGTGTAAAATGCATTTCATTGAAAATCATCGATGGGGAAATGTTCTTCAAACACATATTTTGCTATTTGAGGTCACTGATACCAGGTCAGGTCACAGAGGTCAGGTCACTGGGGGGTCACAATATGAAAGTGTCGTGTGATACATGTTTTATGGTCCATTTTACATGACAAATGCGATTATGTGGGTCAGACAGACTTTAGGGCCAGCTTAGGTCATGTTTTGGTCAAGGTCAGGTCAAGGTCAGGTCAAGGTCAGGTCAAATTAGGTCAAATTTCAAAGTTGATATTTTTGCATAAAATGGGTATCGATTCGATGCAGCTCGTCACGGGGAGTTCAATGGTGGTCTCCGTTTTGCGCTACGAGGTCTAGAATTGCTAAAAATTGAGTTCAAAAATTTGACGTCATCAATTTTTAACAGTTTTTTCGCTATAACTTGGCCAAAAAAAGAGATATCGATCTAAAATTTGGTATGTATATCGAAGAGCGCAGGGACTATCACATATATTCCGGTTTTTTCGAAATTCGAAAAATTTTTGGAAATTTTTTGAGTTTTTCTAAAAAAATCAATTTTTTTGATTTTTGGGGGTCAAAATCCAAAAATTTCAAAAATCCGAGATAGCAGTTTTGTAGCGCCGTTTTTTCTCTACACAACCACATAAAGAACTTTAAAATTGCTTGTGAACTGTAGAATTGGTGAGCGTTTCAAGATGTCATGTTTTTTGCTCATTTTTACTCGAACATGACCTCAGTTTGACCTCAATAACTCCTGACCTGAGGTGACCTGTGACTTGAAATTTTGTGTGAAGGTGTCAAATTGATGTCCGGTAAGGTACCCAAAATTTGGCGGCGCTGCGCGCCGCCGTTTTCTCGCTATTTAAGAAAAACCACAGGGGGGGGGCCAAAATGGCCCCCCCCCATCAGGGCGCGGGTTAAGTCAAACTTTGAACCATATTGGCTACAGTTTTCCCAAGACATGTAACAGTGTATTGCCACCACTTGAAGTGTTACAGAGCTTGCAAAGTGCTTTGATATTCAAACGATTAAAGTGTTCCCTATGTATGTATTGTATATTGTATATTCATATATTACATAGTTCTAACAATGCTGCTTATTGTAATTAATATACATACTAAGTGCATTTTTGAGTTTATGCATTCAATATTCCTACTTATACCTACCGTATTGCATAGTTGTACACTAAAAGATTTAGCGCTAAACCCGTGCATGGCTAGGGTATTTCCCATAACACGAGTGACTGGGAGGAGGGGCTCTACAGAGACGTAGTGAAATAGAGATAAGCGCCAGTTGCAGGAGCAAAACGGAATCAGAAGTCGTGGCGGCACCCGAAGTATAGAGCTTCGACACTATCTTCGAAATTACTGGGCCGCTCGTCAAAATTCAAAAGGAATCTGATAGCCCTGGAAACACTGTCGAGTGAAACCTAATTTAATTGATTTCGAGGTCATTGATGGCGTCACAAATCAGGTCAAAGTAAAAATTATCAGCCTTCTAACTTGTTAAAACAATTTAGGCTCCGGCCGCCGGCTAACAAGCCCGATCAGGCTCATTTTTAATTTACGCACTCCTTCATATAAGCCTTAGATACCTTTACGGTACCGAACTTGTACTTCGAGTTTTTGAGGTCAAGGCCAGGCCATCCTAAGTCACGAAAATCTTATATCATGTATCGGTCACATGATGCATGTTTTATGGTCCATTTAACCCGCGCCGGGCCGGTGCTCTGAGATTCCGCGCCGGGCCGGGGGGGGTGTCTGAACACCCCCCCTTCTAACTCGGCTCCTGGGCCACGTAGCGACACGCGGTAAGCGGCAATCGAAAGAACGTCCAAAATAAGGACGAAAACACTTCGGTCATTTTTTGGGTCAGGTCAAAGGTCAGGTCACCAGAGGTCACCAAAGGTCAAATGTCCACTATTTCAACATTTTGGAAACTGCCAACGGCTATCTCGGGAACCGATAGAGCTACAGCGCCGCGGAAAAGCGCATTCGATAGCCCTTTTACAGACCTTTCTGAGTAATGTTCTCAGATTTGACCTCAGGTCAACGGTTTAGCCTCCAGGGGGCAAAAACTTCAAAAATAGCCGTTTTTACGAAAAACGTTTTTTCGGTAATAACTTTTGACTCAAAAGAGTCATGACATTACTTTTGCCACCATCGTGTTCCTCTCGTCGAGACGCGTCGAATGAACTATAATTTGACCTTGAACGGTCAACTTGAAAATTTGACCTCAGGTCAAGGTCATGACCTGACCGGAAAAGGTCATGTTGCATATCAGTCGATCCGCAACGTCGAGCCGAACACATCTAAGGCGTTTTCAGCGCTCTAGCACGTCTCTATCAGAAGTTATTAGCGAAAAACTGTTAGATTCTGTTCGTGACCTGAGATGACCTCGGGGACATAACGAGGGGTCACAGTTGCCATTTTCCGGTTCAGTGTGTCCATTTTACCTACATCTCGATGTTTGAGAGTGTCTAGAATAACGTTCGTGCAAAACAGACGCTTTTCAATTTTCTCCCATTGACTTATAATGGAGAGGTCGCAAAATTGACCTGACCTTAGGTCACCGATATCAAAATTCCGAGATATACATTTTATAGATATTGTTGCTCTAATCAATCGCTGAAAGTTTCAAGGCAATCAATCAATCGGTGTAGCTATGACGAGCATTCTTATTTTTTCTGAGGTGAGGTCACTTAGCGTGACCTGGTGACCTGACCTAAGGTGACCTGGGTCTGAAATTTTCACAACATGTGCGGAAGAGATGCACAAACAGGTGTGCCAAAAACGGCGGCGCTCCGCGCCGCCGTTTTTGAGATATCTGCGAAAAACCGCAGGGGGGGGTTCAAACACCCCCCCGGCCCGGCGCGGGTTAATCAAACAGTTTCGCAAACAATGTTGTCTGCGTCATTTGAGGTCATTCTCAGCTAAATTTACCGGAGGTCCTAAATCACTTTCAGGTCAGAAAAGTTCAAATTTTAGAATGTTTTTTTTTCAACAGGAAAGGTGCCTATCGGATGACTTTTCAGCTCAGGAACACGATGTTGCTACTTATATTGTTGTACGATGTCAACAACGAACTAAAAAGGGATTTGAAAAATCTATACTTGTGAACTTGTTACTACAATGCGTATACTTTGACCATTTTTGAAGATATTTGGCTAAAAATTTCAAGAGTATGTCATCGATGGGTGTTCTATTACAGATGTTCCGTTTTTTTAGACAAAGCAGATACTTTTTTTTTGCAATTTCATGTGTATATTTTTCGAAATTTTCAAAGTTAAGAAAAACCGTGGTACTTATTTGATAGCCACGTTTATTTTGAGTCCACTCATGCAACGAAATTAGATCTAGCTTAAAAACTGAGCTCTTGAGAGCGATTGCCGTAGTGAAATATTTCGCATAAAAATCGGCCGACATGACGTCACTCAAAATTGCCGAAAAAACCGGAGGAAGGCTCTATATACCAGTGTTCGCCACGGGCCGGGCCAGCCCAACGGGCCATGGGCCGGGCTGGGCTACGGGCTGGGCCGGGCCCCCAAATATCATTAGTTAACGGGCTATGGACGGGCCGGGCCAAGAGCTTTGTGCACTATGGGTTTTGCGACTAATGTCAATTTAAGAAAATTTGGAAACTGATGCAAACAAAACCCACTGGGAAAATACAAAAACTAAACCAAATTTAAGGAATGTGAAAGAAAACCTACTTGATATTGAATTTTGGGAATCTTGAGAATTATCCAATATCACATCATGTCACACATAGGAGGGTTTTCATAAAAAATTCCGCAACCAAAAAGATC